GTGAGTTTTTAGAAGACTGGTAATAGATCTGGACTAATATTTAGTCAATTGTATGAAAGGTATGCCTTTGTAACTATGCATCTGTCAAAAAATTAGATTAAACCCTAATCTGGACTTGTTTTTCTTTGAATTGTAATTTCTTCGAAAAAAAAACAAACAGTTTTTCCTCATCTCGTTGGTACTTACACATCACAGATACGTTTGCTACAATGATATTTGCACTAAAGGCTTGCTGTTAAAAGATGTCATTTGACACACGTGAGTAAGAGTTTCTCATAAGTCGTGTTCCTAATTTATTTTGCGACAGAAATCTCCACTCTTCAGAAGGCCGGACGCCAGACCTCTGGTTTTTCTGACCGCTTCTGTCTGTCTGATAGGGCAGGGCCAGTTTATTCAGACCATGTTTACTCACTCCGTTACAGTGTAAGTGCATGATGGCAAAAGAAAAACTCTGTGAAATGCTATTTTAACCAATAAATCTTTTCTTTCTTAATCCTCATTAAACAGCTCCTCTTTGTCATCAGCGTCGTTTGAGTGGAACAGTGGTCAGAACAGAGCAGTCTCAAAGGGTTAAATTGACTTAAAATGATATTTTTAGTCCGTTTTCCAGTGATTATCCGCTCAGTTGTTTTTTTTCTCAGTCACAGATTGTTTCATATTGTTGGAATTTTGATAAAAATCCATCCAGCTGACATAACTAATTGCATTAACAGTTAAGTTGAGAGGATTGCGAAAGCACATTATGTATAAACGTATTGTTCCAACGCCTTTAAAAAGATTCCTCATATGATAGACGGCTGTAAAGCCTTTACAACATTTCCATTTGTTGCTTTATTGCTCCTTGTCTGACCGCAAGAATGACACACGCGCAGCTAACACAGATTTTAAAAAGGGTTGTTTGGTTTTTTTTCTCAGACATTTAAACCCCTTATCCAAAAAAAAGGGATTTAATGCACTTAGAGAATAAATGAATAGATATAACAAGTACAGCTTTATTTAGTTCCCCTGCTCTTATGGTATCCTTCATCTTCTTATGCAAAACACAAGCCATACACCAAATTTTTATCAGAAAATGCAGCATGGGATCCTTTTGAAAACAGAAAATGGCCCAATTGTAAGCTACAATCTATAGTCTAACTCAGTTTATTTGGTCTGCTTTTCTGGGCTTTTCAGCCAATAAGAATGAGGCATTAGTCTTTAGCATTGACTTCACCTCCCAGCAGATTGTCAGCTGATTAAAACCATCTCTAATCATGTTGAAAGTGTCCAGAGGCCGGGGTTTTTAGGTTTGGAAGGTAGAGCCACATTCTTTACATGCCGGCTGCCACATGCCATCATCGACCGCTGTGCTGGATGTGTTGGAAAACTTTAAACTCCTAATGAGGACGTTTTAAGACCTATAGGATTTGTCAATAGTTTCAATCAAAAATAGAGACAAGACAGACGTTGAACATGAGAAAATCCACCATCCAGTTCATTACAGGCTGGAGATGCCTTGTTATTATTACTATAGTT